TCCTTTCCCACCACTTTCCATCTCTCATATACACTGGTATCTCGCAGTTTGACTGAAACCTGAAAAAATGCAATGCGTTTTGACTTGTACTTTCTCCGAGAACAGCAGGTATAATATGATCCGTTTTGCGGCTTTTCCTTTCTCCTGTCCTTAAAATCTTTTTGTTTTGAATTAATTTAAGATTTACAAGTAGTGGCAAGAATAGTGTGTCCCAAACAAAGAAGCAAACAAACCACCCCCCTGCCCCCCAACTGCCGCTTCAACCCTACCACCCCTCACCCCTCGGCAAAGTAGCCTTCACCCATCTTTCCCCAGTGATAGCATCTTACATAATCATAGATTTTTCAAAATCAGGAAATGGACATTGGAATAGTATTATTAAGTAAAACTACAGAACTTGTTCAGATTTCACCAGTTTTTATATACTCTTTTTGAATCTATAGTACTATGAGATTTTATCGCATATATGAATTTATGAAATTATCACTGCTATCAGAATACAAAATAGTTTTATCATCACAAATACTCTCCCTCAGGCTATAATTTTTTTTTAGTTAGACCTTCCCCTAACTTTAACCTTAGACAACCACTGACTTGTTCTTGATCAATTTGTCACTTCAAGAGTGTTATAAATAGAATCATACATGTATAACTATTTGAGATTCAAACAGCATAACACCATGGAGGGCCATCCAGATTAGTGTTTGGGTTAGTAATTTGTTCCTTTTTTTGATGGCTTATGGTATTTACTTGTATGAATATGCCACATTTTGCCATATACCATATACATTTGCTCATTGAAGGACCTTTGGATTGTTTCCTGCTTTAGCCTGTTAGAAATGAAGCTGCTATGAATATTCCTGTACAGTTTTTTTGTGTCGACGTTTAGCCTAAACATTTCTCTAGGCCAAATATCCAGTAGTATGATGGTGGCTAGATTATATAGTCAGTGTAAATTTTGCTTTACAAGAAACTGACAAGCTGTTTTCCAGAGTTGCTGTGTTATTTTACAGTCCCATAGCAATGTATAAAAGATTCAGTTGCTCTAATTGTTGTAACAGTTGGTATTATAAGTACTTTTAAAATTTTAGCCAGTTTGTAGATCTCTAGTGCTACTTCATCATGTTTAAATTTGCATGTCTTTAATGTCTGATGATGCTGAATATCTTTTCCTCTGTTTCCTCTTTGGTGAAATGTCCATTCACATCTTTTATTCAGTTTTCTATGGGATTGTTTGTTTTCTTACTGTTGAATTTAAACACTTCTTGATACTTTCTGGAGATAAGTCATTTGTTGAGTATGTGTTTTGCAAATATTTTTTCTGAGTCTGTTTCTTGTATTTTCATCTTCTCATCAGGAAGTTTTTTTTTTAAAAACTTTTTATTTTGTATTGGAGTATAGCTTATTAACAATATTGTGATAGTTTCAGGTGCATAGCAAAGCTACTCAGTCATACCCATACATGTATCTGTTCTCTCCCAAACTCTTCTCCCATCCAGGTTGCCACATAACATTAAGCAGAGTTCCCTCCTCAGGAAGTTTTGAAAACCAAAGTTTTAAATTTTGAAAGAGTCCAGTTTATCTAATTTTTCTTTTATGGATTGTTATGGCTTTTATAGCTCTTTTATGGATTGTTAACATGGCTCTTCATGTTGTATGTAAGTCCAATATTTTTCCTCTTATATTTACTTTTAACAGTTTTAGTTTACATTTTAGATTTAGATTTATGATCAATTTTGATTTAATCTAAAAATAAAGTGTGAGATTTAAGTTGCAGCTAATTTTTTTTGTTTGGTAGAAGTCCAGTTGTTTCAGTCATACCATTTATTGGAAATGCCATTTTTTTTTCCATTTATTTTTATTAGTTGGAGGCTAATTACTTTACATCATTGCAGTGGTTTTTGTCATACTTTGAAATGAATTAGCCATGGATTTACATGTATTCCCCAAATGCCATTTTGAAAGGATCCAAAATCACCACTGAATTGTTCTTGATTCTTCTGTGATCTCAGTTCTGTTGGTAACCCTACCCAGTGATTTTTCATTTTGGTTATTTTATTTTTTAGTTATAAAATTTTCATTTGCTTTTTCAATTACCAATCCCATGGATGACAAGTTTATATCTACAGTTCAGATATCTCTGAGATTCTTACCTCTTTATCAATTGCCTATTTGATATTTCCTCCTGAAAGGCACATCAAGCTCAATATATACAAAATGGAAGTATCTCCTAAATCTATCCATTTCTATCTCCACTAACACCACAACGTTACCTTCGTCTTTCATATGATTGTAGTAACATCTGATTTGGTCTTCTCATACCACTTTGGCCCTTCTTCAAACTCTCATTTACTTGCAGTTAGAGTTATTTTTGGTTCAAAGTGAAAATCTAATCATGTCTCACTAAAAACCTTTTGTTGGTTTTCAATTGGCAAAGATTAAAGACAAAATTTAACAGTTCAGTCGCTCAGTCGTGTCCAACTCTCTACGACCCCATGTCCTAAAGGTTCTAAATAGTGTACCTTCTGGCCTGCTTCTCCAGCTTTGTTTTGAACTATCTTTGCTATTGGTTTTTGTGCTCTGGCCACACAGGGCTTCTGTCAGTCCCTGTTACTGACTGTGTTTGTGCTCATCAAGATGCCTTTCTGTCCTATCCTACTCTTCTCTTTCCTCTGTTTCTAATGCTTCCTATTCCTCCTTTAGTTCTCAGTTTAAGCAGTACTTTCTTTGTTTAAAATAAGTCTCTTAAAATTAAAAAAAATTGAAGTATAATTTATTTACAATGTTGTGTTAGTTTCTGGTATACAACAAAGTGATTCATTTCTACATATATGTATATATATATTTTTTAATATTCCATTATAGTTTATTACAAGATACTGAATATAGTTCCATGTGCTGTATCATAGAACCTTGTTTATTTTATGTATAGTAGCTTATATTTGCTAATCCCAAACCCCAAATTTATCCCTCCCTGCCCCTTTCCACTTTGGTAACCACAAGTTTGTTTTCTCTGTCCCTGAGTCTATTTCTGTTTTGTATACAAATTCATTTGTATCATATTTTAGATTCCACAAGTGATATTTGTCTTTCTCTGTCAAGCAGTGCTTTATTAAGATTATGCCTTCCTTGACATAGTTGACTAGGTAGAAATCTTCCTATTACAGGTCATTTTAAGAATTATGCTTATTAGAATTGCAATTTTACATGTTTTATTATTGGATTACTGTCTTTCTACTTGGAGTAAGTTTCCATGAGGGCATGAATTGTGCCCATCACTGCATTTTCAGCACCCAAGGCAATGCTTGGCATGTAATAGGCACTTGATATGTTTGCTCAATGAGTCAATCAAAATGGAGTACTAAAGTATGCAGTTGGAAATATAAGCTTGGATCTCACAGAATTAAAAAATGAACTCTACATTGACCTTATAATGGTTATTGTGGGAAGTCTCTCAAATGCAGTATAATTATTATAGGGATAGTGCAAAGCCATTATTTATTACATCTCAATGGTTCACAAATAATTTAGTATCTTTCTTTTTCTGGATTCCCCTTCTTCGATCAAGGTGCCGTCATCTTATCAGTTATCCAGTGTCGAAAAACCTGGGGTCCTCTTTGAGTTTATCCATGTCATATACATTCCGTTAGTTGTCAAAGTTAGTTCATTTCCTTTTCAAGATGATTCTCACATCTGTTTCTTTTATTTTATCGAATCACTTCCAAATTAATTTAGGTTCTTATCTTTTTATGGCTATGTCACTACAATGTGTGCTTCCCTGGTGGCTCAGTGGTAAAGAATCTTGCTACCCAGGTGGCACTAGTGGTAAAGAATCCACCTGCCAGTGCAGGAGATATGAGATGTGGGTTTGATCTCTGGGTTGGGAAGATCCCCTGGAAGAAGGCATGACAATACACTGCTGTATTCTTGCCTCTAGGATCCCATGGACAGAGGAGCATGGGAGCTATTGTCCATGGGGTCGCAAAGAGTCAGTTATGACTAAAGCAACAGCATGCGTGCACCAGTGCAGGAGATGTGGGTTTGATCCCTGGGTCGGGAAGATTCCTTGGAGAAAGAAATGGCAACCCATTCTTGCCTGGGAAATCCTATAGACAGAGGAGCCTGGCAGGCTACAGTCCATGACACCATGAAGGGTTGGGCACAACTTAGTGACTGAACAGCAACAGTAACAACAGTCACTGTAGTATTCTACTGATCTCAGCCTCCTTTCTCTTGTCCAAACTACCAAATTACTCTTTCTGCAAGTCATCCCAGCTTATGTTGGTATTTCTGTTGCCTATCAAATAAATAAAATAAAAGCTTAAATCCCTCAAGAACCCTGGTTTTAAATTCCAACCTTATTTTCTTCTGATACCCTCAGTGTTTGGCAAATTTCAATCATTCAGATCCCGTCATCTTTTTTGCCATATCTAAGAAGATGTGTACTCTTTTCTATTCAATATTTTTCCTTAAATTAACTCACCTTTTTACTGAATCTCATCCTAATCTATAATTTCTTCAAAGTCAAGGGCTTGATGTGTTTGATACACTTTTTTCCTAATTCTTATGATAAATATTAAATGTTACTGTTACAATGTTTACTTGGGTACCACCTGAAGTTGTTTTATATGTTAGTGGTGGTCTGGGGACTACACTTGGGGGAACTTTGCTATATACAAATTCTCTACTCCCTGCCTATAGAATATATTTTTCATGTCTAATCTTTTTTTTTTTTTTGTTATTGTTCCCTCACTTCCTTTCCCAGTAAATTCAATTTAGTAAATGTTGTGGCAGGCACTGAGGATGAAGATAATGGTAAGATACTGATTTTCCTTTTTCTTTCAAGGAGTTTATACTTTGTTAGAGGAATTACTAATCCACGGGCCTCAAACAATATACAAATCTTACTTGTCTTTTTGTGATGACCAGCTCAAATTTTACTGCCTATTAGAGTCCTTCATGTATTACCTCTGTTCAAAGAGATTTTTCTTTCCTGAATTTTTCCTGTTGTATTTGACTTTCTGAATCATGTTTTGATATTTGTCTTTTAATATTGTTTTATTATTCTCATATTTATATTTTGATGAGATATTCTTGCATTCCTCTGTGGATGTTGCATTTAGTAGAGACTAAACAGTTTTAGGCAATACCTAAATAAGGAAGTAATACCTAAGTACCTAAGTAAGGAAATACCATACTTAGTTGAGAAAAAGAGCTTGACATTTCTTTATCAGGGTTTTATTTCAGAAAAATTGTGTTTTGTTGACAATTATACATAATGGACTTACATTTTGAAAAATTTACATTTGGAAGCTGAAGTTTGAAATTGAGAGATCTAAGAAGATGAAATTTATGAAGGATTTTTTGCCAGGTTGCAAGCAAAGAAGCAGAAATTTTGTGGCTAAAGAAATGTGAGGAATCTATCATTTTAATTGATACTGTAAAAGACTGGAAGCTAGTTTTGAAGTTGATAGTGTTGGAGTGAAATTACTCAATTCTGTTTGTTAGTTTATAAAATCTGGTGCTGTTTTTCATCAGTGTGACTTTTTACTGTCCTTTTTCTGCCTGGAACTTTTTCTTTGGTTTATATCCTTGTCCTCTTTGCTCATTTTTATTTTATCTCTTTTTTTCATAGAATCTCCTTTGATATTCTTGCTCTTTTTGTCCTCATCTCTCTTTATGTCCTTGTCTTTTATCTTGTCCTCAAATCCCTTTGTATCTTTGTCCTCTGTCTTATTCTCATCTCCCTTCATGTCCTTGTCTTCTGCCTTGTTCTCAGCTCCCTTCATGTCCTTGTCCTCATCTCCCTTTATATCCTTGACTTTTATCTTGTCTTCATCTCCCTTCACGTCCTTGTCCTCTGTCTTGTCCTCATCTCCTTTCATGTTCCTGTCATCTGTTTTGTCCTTATCTCCTTGCATGTCCTTGTCCTCTATCTTTTCCTCATCTCCCTTTACATCCTTGACTTCTATCTTGTCTTCATCTCCCTTCATGTCCTTGTCCACTGTCTTGTCCTCATCTCCCTTCCTGTCCTTGTCCTCTGTCTTGTCCTCATCTCCTTTCATGTTCCTGTCATCTGTTTTGTTCTTATCTCCTTGCATGTCCTTGTACTCTATCTTTTCCTCATCTCCCTTTACATCCTTGACTTCTATCTTGTCTTCATCTCCCTTCATGTCCTTGTCCACTGTCTTGTCCTCATCTCCCTTCCTGTCCTTGTCCTCTGTCTTGTCCTCATCTCCTTTCATGTCCCTGTCCTCTGTCTTGTCCTCATCTCCCTTCTTGTCTTTGTCCTCTGTCTTTTCCTCATCTCCCTTCATGTCCTTGTCCTCTGTCTTGTCCTCATCTCCTTTCATGTCCCTGTTCTCTGTCTTGTCCTCATCTCCCTTCGTGTCCCTGTCCTCTGTCTTGTCCTCATCTCCCTTCATGTCCTTGTCCTTTGTCTTTTCCTCATCTCCCTTCATGTCCTTGTCCTCTGTCTTGTCCTCATCTCCTTTCATGTCCCTGTCCTCTGTCTTGTCCTCATCTCCCTTCGTGTCCCTGTCCTCTGTCTTGTCCTCATCTCCCTTCATGTCCTTGTTTTCTGTCTTGTCCTCATCTTCCTTTATATCCTTGACTTTTATCTTATCTTCATCTCCCTTCATGTCCTTGTTCTTTGTCTTATCCTCATCTTCCACCTTGTCTTTGTTCTTGTTGCTATCTTCATCTTCTTTCTTGTCCTGGTCCTCCCTGTCTTCATCTCCCTTCTTGTCTTTATTATCTGTGTCCTCGTCTCCCTTCTTTTTCACATTCACCCTTCGTTCCCAAGTTTCACCTTCATCTTTTATACTATGTCCTTTCTTTGACTGGCCCTTTTCTATTTTATTTTCCTTGTCCATAACCTCCCTGATACCTTTTCTTTTTTCATCTTTTACTCTCTTCCCTTCTTTACTCAGAGTTTTCTCAGGAAGCTTTTCAACTTTCACTTCAGGCTTTGGTTTTTGTCCCTTTTCATAGTTCTCCTCAGGGCCACTTAAATCTCTTTTATGCTGGTATTTAGGACCACTTTGGCTAATTTGTGGTGGGACTACTTGAATTCTCAAATAAATATCCTGTTTTGGGGTAGTTTTTCTTGTTTCTCCAGTGCCACTTTTTGCCTCTGTTTTTGAACATTCTCTCAAATTACCTGAAAATATAACAAAGCGTATAATAAAAGTACATAATTAACATTTAAGTAATTTTGATCTTTTCATATCAAACATTTTTGCTTTGGGTTAAGCTTGAGTCATTAAATTTGCCTTCCCAATAATATAAAATTTGTGAAACTGTACACACACAAAGGGTTAGATAAGAGATCCTTGAAATATAGTACCTTTTTAAGTATTGAATTGAGAAAAGGGAAAAATACAACACAAGAAATTGGTAATTGCTCAGTAGAATATAGCTAGAGTGTATGATTAAAATTAAAAAGAGATGTAAACTGAAAAGGAGAACTTTTTCTGAGAAAATTATTATATAATATTTGTGATTCCTTGAGAAAGTTCCATCTCCCTTTGAGTGATAACAATTGCTAAACTAGCATTTTGAAAGACTGTGAAGCTGGAACTTTCCTTAGCTCTCTCACAGATTTTCAAGGATTCTGCATTAAAAATAATTTAGAAATGGTAGCATTACTTAAGGTAGGAAAACAACTGGTTCTTATAGTATATAAGCATATGACAAATACATTGAGATTACTACAGTGATCTTTTAATTTAAAAATATTTAACAGTTATATGTCAATAATATTGATTGATAAGATCATTTAAATGTTTACATAAATTCTATTTAAAAATCTCATAATTTTATAACGACCTCATATTAAATATTATTTTCAAATTTTAATTATTATAAATAATGCTGTGTTAAACCACCTAATACATATACCTTTGAAAAGCTGTCCTAGTTTTTCTTAGAAAACATTTCTGGAAGTATAAATTCTTAGTCAAAGGGTATGTACATTTTGTATTTTGAAACATTGCCAAATGTACTCTTGAAAAGTTAAACCTTAATAGCAATAGGGCATAGAAACAGAAATTTGGCCAAACTCTAAAAACATTATACTCTGTAAACCTTTTCAATCTTTCGCAAACTGATAGATTAAAACAAAAGAGCTCCTCTTTATCTGTATTTTAAAAATTAACTCATGTTTTTGGATCTTTAGCATTCTTTCCTGTATACCAGCTCATTTATTTTTAGATTTCTCCATCTTTTTTATTGCTTGATATGTTTTAGAGAACATTTTTTAGAACTTATCAAGAGGCTATAAATGTTTGGCTTAAATAAACCAAAAAAATAATTTAGATTAAACTTCTGGATCAACTACTGAGTCATTATTTAGACCATAAATTATTTTCCTGAGAAATGACAAACACTTTCAGTTATATTGAAATGTATCATAAGTTTAGTATTATGACTTTAAGAATGGCTTTGGTTTTTGGGATTTTATGAACCCTCAATTTGGTAGGCTTCAGGGACAGCTGGGTAAGTGGAGCTCATTCTAATTTTTTTTCAATTCTTTGCTCCATCAAGAATTGAAAGCTTTCTTTTGACTGGTATTTGCAGATTTAAGTCCTTCCTTTCCTTTCTTTTCTCAGCTACATCTGTCTCTTTTATTCTCTGCTACCTCCTCATTTTTGTTTGAATCACTGAATACTGTTTTTCAAGAAGAATGCCAATTTTTCTGATAAATAATTTTATCAATATATTTTCCCTTCATATTTATTTTCCTTTCAGTTATAAAGAGTTATTATTATTTTTTTAAGTGGCACTAATCCCACAGCAAGGGAAAGGAAGAATTATGTGGTCTCCTCTTCTGCTTAAGTGGTAATACTAAGCTATTATGTTGTTCAAGACCAAGGTGTTTCTATATGAAGAAAATGGAAAGGGAAATTATTAATATAAATACTTACTATAAACTTTTCTAAAGTTAAAAGTTTCTTTTTAATCTTTTATTCTTGAATATGGTATATATTTAATGTTGATAATCTTCTTTTCTTAAGAACATCAGTGGTCTACATCCCAGGGCCATCAAATCCTCTATGATATTTGCTGGGGTTGGTAAAGAATATGCTTGCAATGCAGAAGAACCCAGTTCAATTCCTGGGTTGGAAGGATTATCTAGAGAAGGGATAGGCTACCCACTCCAGTGTTCTTGGGCTGCCCTTGTGGCTCAGCTGGTAAAGAATCTGCCTGCAATGCGGGAGACCTGGGTTTGATCCCTGGGTTGGGAAGATCCCCTGGAGAAGGAAAAGGCTACCCAGTCCAGTATTCTGGCCTAGAGAATTCCATGGACAGTCCATGCATGCGTGACTTTCACTTTCAACTTTAGTTGCAGTAGAGATAGACCTTAAGAGGGCTGGAAAGGAGACTACTGCTTCTCCTCAACAAGTGCCTTTTCCCCTTCACTATCTTATTGGGAATTAAAACCTGAAAAGCATTGTAACTGTTGTCTTTAGACCACAGTTTCCTAAATTCAACAGCTAATTTCTTTCAATTTAATTTTTAACTTTTCTTTTTAAAAACATTTAATTAAAACCAGGAGATACTTTATTTCCTGTTTTTTCATTTTGTGATTTAAATATTTTACTGCCCCGAAATTCCTCTATGAACTGTGGGAATTCTGGGTAAAATGGAAAGAAAGGAGACTGAGATAGGGGAGTCTGAAATGAGATAGACAGTCTGAATTGGAAGTAGACATTTTGTGAAAAGTTCCCTGGATCCTGCAGGAGATTAATACATATTAGAATTGACAAATGCCAAGACACTTACTTGAGGGTGCTGAAGCTGCTTCTAAAAAACAAAACCAAAAATTATTTAGACAAAATCCAAAATATGTTTCAAAAATATATTGTTTACTTTCATATTCTTCCAGAAAGAATGCTTTAAAATGGGACATTTGCAGAGCACTAAACCAACCCTGTTTGTTTTTAAAGCAATCTGCTAACTTTATGGATCTGGAGGAAGGATAGGAAAGATAGCACCTATGCCACATTTCTCCATGTGTTTTCACTGTTTTTCAACATTTGAAGTTTCTCTCCCTTTTTAATTCTTTCAGTTTTCCTCATGTAATCTCCTCCTGCTCTCTTCCTTATCCTAGGAAATCTGTCTGTTCTTCGCTATTAAAAAAATTTTTTTTGAACTTGTGTCACAGAGTCAGTATATTGCTGACAAATTGGCTTAACACTTTCTCTATGGGCAATGTCATCACAAATCATACGGAATATCTTTTTTTTCTGTTAGTAAAGAATATCTACTTTAAAAATTATCAGTAATCTATCATATTTCAGAGCAATTGGAAGTCTTTGTAAGTGCTAGAAATGGTAGCCCTTAAATATTACGGAAGACAGAAAAACACCCTGGGAATAAAACAACAAAGGAGCCAATGAGTATCACTGATTCTTCCCAAAGAAAAATACTACCATTGGAGGTTCCTTTGTCTGCGCGTGTTGAATATAAATTATATTGATAATCTTCTGTTCTCCCTTCCTTCCTTCATTCCCTCAATGGTTCATTCAACAAATAGTTATTAACCATCCATCATGTTCAGGCACTGTGTCTGGCACAAGGGATTCCATTTTGAATGAGAACAACAGGTTCTCTGTCTTCTAGGAGCTTCTAGATGGAGCATCAGGCCTAAGCTTTAGGATGTATGCAGAGATGTTTCACGTCTATTTAGGATAAAATTAAAGTTCACAATGCAATAGTACCATTGAGTCCATAAATACTTATTTTTATACCTTTAATTTACTGTTCAGTTGAATAAACAAACATCAATAGGAAAACTAGAAATATTTCAAAGGCATAAAAATGATAGAAATCTGGTCTTAGTTTAGACATGGCCGTGCACAGGCAGCTCAGTTTCCATTCTGAAATCAGATCCCAGATTATTTTATAAAGTAAAGCTCAGTTTGCTTTAGCACTCCTCAATAGGGAGTTGAAATTCAGGCCCTCCTAAATGTAAGCATTCATTTAAATTTTCTTCCTTCCATTTGTTTTCTCACTGATTCATCTTTTCCTTTACTCTTTTCATAAAACACATTTAAATGGGAAATGCACTTTATTTACTATTTTCAGGCTAGTACATGCTTCATGCTGAGTCGCTCAGTCATGTCTGACTCTTTGTGACCCCTTGGGCTGTATGGTGAGCCCCACCAGGCTCCTTTGCCCATGGAGTTTTCCAGGCAAGAATAGTGGAGTGGGTTGTCATTTCCTACTCCATGGCGTCTTCCTGACCCAGGGATAGAACCCTCTCCTGCATCTCCTGCATTGGCATGTGGATTCTTTATGACTGTGCCATAGGAGAGATAAAATTTTAAATTCTGTATTTGTTCTGCTTTTTTTTTTCTTTTTTCACACAGAAAACTAGAATTTGTAACCTGAAAATAATTTTCTTTTTGGTGCTTCCATTGCTTACAAAGAAAAAAATTTATTTATTTATTTATTTATTTTCCATTTGGAGAATGGTTTCTTAGGATAGTATTCCAAAGGGAGATTTTGCATACCTCTGCTGAACTCTTTAAGATCTTTTGCGTAAGCTTGCTAGGATATCTCACTTTAATTTTTTTCCCACAAACACGGAAACCTGTTTCTCTGTCAAAACACACCCTCTTTCTAATGAGAAAGGCTTTGAATATGAAGTGATCATCTAATCATACAAGTGGCTAGCCTCTGAGCCCTGTTATTACATTGCTTTCAGACTTATTTTTTTCTAAAGTGCCATTCTGATTATGCATTCTTTGAAAACTTCTAATATCCAAACTTCAAGCATGATTCATAAAGTCCTTCATAACTGAGCCTGACATACTTCTCCAGTCTCCTTTCCTCCTGATGTCAACACTTCCTGATTCTTCTCTGGATCCAGCATGGAATTCTGGAATCTCCTCTGGATCCAACATGGAATCAGCGGGAGATAAAGTTGAGAGAAAACTTGAGGATGTTGGGTTTATAAAATTTCAGGAATGTTTCTCTCCTTGAGATAGACTTAGAACAAGACATTGCCTGACTTCTATAAAATGTATAATATCTTATCTCAGTCACATCCCAGATGCTTTTCTCCAACTGGCCTTCACTTCATCCTTTATTAAACTGCTTTATTATTTACAGAAACCAGGGCTTCTCAGAGTTATGAACAAAGTTCTCTATATTTATTATATGATATTTTGAAATCTGATTTCAGAGTAAACTTATGTGGTGACTACTGTTTCACTGCTGAAGTAAATCACCCAAGGTTCCTCAACTCTTAATTAGATTTGAACCCTGGCCACTTTGCTCCAAAATCCTTGCCTCTAAACTCTGTTGTGTTGTTACCACCCTTCTCCCCAACTCCACATTGACTCCTTTGACACTGTAATCCTAGACTTCCAAATCTCTTTATTGAACTTTATTTACTTGACATATTTCCTATATGTATAGGAAATACACATATAGGATTTTTTATTTCTCTATTCCTCCCCTTCTCTCCGCTTTGTTGTTGTTCCACTGTTTGACATTCTTTCAAATGAGAAGGATCATTAACCTGTCTTCAGTCATAGACCAAGAAGGTGGCAGCTATGTTCTGGGAATCCAGAGTTGACTCCACATCATTTTACCTCTTTCTAAAATCTATAGACAAATGCAAAGACTATAATATTCCTCCTTTTATAAAATAAATATTTATAGTCCACCATGTTGGAGACAATATGTCCTAGGTACTGGAGATAGAGGTGCTATTCCTATACATTTAGACTTAATAGTTAAGAAAATAAAATCAGTCACATTTAAAGATACATAGTTTTATCAATGTGGTAGATATTTGGACTAAAGCAGCATTCAGTCTCTCTAAGGTATCAAAACCCTGTAGGAACTACTGAGCTTTTCTTTTATGGAAGTCAGCTTGGTGTGCTGGGAGACCTTAAGAAGCCTGTACTCTGCAGAGAAAAAGCATCATCAATAGATAGATTAAAATCCTAAATGAGAAAGATAAAGCTGTAGATGTAATAAAAGAAAATAAATAAAAGATCACTTCCAATGGTCTTGGATATAGGGAAGGCCTTCTTAGAATCTCCAAAGCACATGATGTGAAAAGCAAATGTATTTAAATACATCAAAAGTGCTTCTGTTTAACCAAAAACATTATAGACAAGGTTCATGGACATATGGTAGATTGAGAGATGTTTTCAAGACAAAGTCATGAAGTCACTTTCAAGACAAGTCACGAAGAATTAATATCCACTCTGTCCAAAAGACGCTTGATAAATAACAAGAAAGAGATGGGAACCCAAATGGCAAAATGGTCAAAATATATGCATAGGAAAAGGAAAACTTGAATGGCTGGTAAGTATATAAATATGTATGTGAACTCATCAGTAGGCATTGAAAAGCAAAATAAAATAGCAAGGAACTTTCTTGCATCAACCAGAATGGAAAGATTAGAAAGAGATAAAAACAAGTGCTCTTCAGCATAGAAGGTGAAGGGAACATATTCTTAAGAGCTGGGGAGACTGTAGATTATTACAGTAGTTCTGAAAAGCAATCTAGGAATGAAATTATCTGTATATCTTACCTATCAGTGATACTACTCCAGATTTACCTTCTAGATATATAATTCACAAATTATAAAGAGAACATGCTCTAGTTCTTTGATCTAGATCATTGATGGAGACTTTGCCATCAGTCACAAAGGGGGTGGATAAGTACACTGTGGATCCACTGTGGTGGATGCATACTGGTCAGTGAACAGTATGCAGTAATTAGAAGTTATGATCTGGTATTTTGAAATCTGACTTCAGTGTAAGCTTATGTGGTGGCTACTGTTTCACTGCTGAAGTAGTTAGAAGCAACTAATGATTCCAAGGATAGATTTTGAAAATAAAGTGATGATACATGAAAAAAGTCAAGGAGTTGGACTAGTGCCTCAGCAACACATGAGTGGGCCAAAAAGTTTGTTCGGATTCTTTCTGTACTATTATATGGAAAAACTCCAACTTATTTTTTGGCCAACTCATTACTTTAAAAGATAAGTGTAAACACTTATAACTGCTGAAAACACTACATACTTGAAAGTGATAGGTGTAAACAGACTAACTATGAATAATTAAAGGATGAAGGACATGACAGGGTCACCAGAGGATTTATAAAAGTATAAAAATAATATGAATGCATGATACTAGTGGGTAGGATGCAATAATGAGGGTAAGGTTGAAGATTCAGCAGAGTGGGATGATTGTTGGAGAGAGAGCTCCCAGAACTGATGAATGGTGGTGGACTCCACATCCAAGGGGGAGGAGCTGATCTTTGATAGGAGAGAGGAGGCTACTGGCTACTACTGTAGTCGGAGGGAAGATAAGTGGAAGGCTTCACCTGCAGGTTATTTGGTGGCAGAAATCTGTAATTGCATGTAATATTTATTTTTATTCATCCAACATGATGCATGGTCCCTGTGGGGAGTGAAAGGTGTGGAGAGATTTTATATTTATTTGTGTCACAAAGATTATTTCAAATAGTTTCTGTGGAGAATGGGAGAGCAAGTGGATGTGGAAACAGTTACTGTGGCCAGTTTTGAGTATCCACTTGAGGTTGTCAGCCATGAGTCAATGGAGGCACATGTCTGTATGGCTGGTGTTATTTTTCTGTAGCACCCAGTGTAGGAAGTGTTGGTGTAGAGAAGGAGGATGGCAGAATTAGTCCAAGATTACACGCAAAGCTGTTCTGATAGATGAAAAGTGGGCCAGAGGATTTGGAAGTATTGTCCTGCAAGTGACAAGAGTGGTGTCTATGGAGTTAGGAAGTAAAGACTGGATAGTGGTGAATGAAGCAGGAGAAATTAGAAAAGTCAAGAAATTAAAGGTGTCAGTGAGGTCAGTAACTGGTGATATGGGATGAAGGCTGCTGCAAAGCTGGAAATTTGTTGCTGAGAGATAATGAGAACATCAGAGTATCTACTGCCTCATCACTGGGATATGATTTTGTCAGTTTGATTTTTAAAACTTAATTGTTCCCATTTTCTTATCCAAAGTCTTTGTTTTCTGTTTTTCCTCTTTCTGTTCAATTTATTTAAAAAATACCATTCTTCTCCAATTGTGTCCTGTCAACTTGTAAAAACCTGTGGTTCCTCAAAATATTGTACTGTCTTTTATTTACTTCTTACTCTGTTGTCTAGCCTCCCAGGTATATCTCTGGGTACTGAGTTTAAACTTTAAATGTTTAACAAGTTCTTTCCCCCTCATTTTACACTCTTATTTCTCTATATTCCTCTTTCTGCTTCAATGCATTTAACTTACAACTTTAGTGTAAATTTTCCTTTTGAAAATAAAGTGATGATACATGAAAAAAGTCAAGGAGTTGGACTAGTGCCTCAGCAACACATGAGTGGGCCAAAAAGTTTGTTCGGATTCTTTCTGTACTATTATATGGAAAAACTCCAACTTATTTTTTGGCCAACTCATTACTTTAAAAGATAAGTGTAAACACTTATAACTGCTGAAAACACTACATACTTGAAAGTGATAGGTGTAAACAGACTAACTATGAATAATTAAAGGATGAAGGACATGACAGGGTCACCAGAGGATTTATAAAAGTATAAAAATAATATGAATGCATGATACTAGTGGGTAGGATGCAATAATGAGGGTAAGGTTGAAGATTCAGCAGAGTGGGATGATTGTTGGAGAGAGAGCTCCCAGAACTGATGAATGGTGGTGGACTCCACATCCAAGGGGGAGGAGCTGATCTTTGATAGGAGAGAGGAGGCTACTGGCTACTACTGTAGTCGGAGGGAAGATAAGTGGAAGGCTTCACCTGCAGGTTATTTGGTGGCAGAAATCTGTAATTGCATGTAATATTTATTTTTATTCATCCAACATGATGCATGGTCCCTGTGGGGAGTGAAAGGTGTGGAGAGATTTTATATTTATTTGTGTCACAAAGATTATTTCAAATAGTTTCTGTGGAGAATGGGAGAGCAAGTGGATGTGGAAACAGTTACTGTGGCCAGTTTTGAGTATCCACTTGAGGTTGTCAGCCATGAGTCAATGGAGGCACATGTCTGTATGGCTGGTGTTATTTTTCTGTAGCACCCAGTGTAGGAAGTGTTGGTGTAGAGAAGGAGGATGGCAGAATTAGTCCAAGATTACACGCAAAGCTGTTCTGATAGATGAAAAGTGGGCCAGAGGATTTGGAAGTATTGTCCTGCAAGTGACAAGAGTGGTGTCTATGGAGTTAGGAAGTAAAGACTGGATAGTGGTGAATGAAGCAGGAGAAATTAGAAAAGTCAAGAAATTAAAGGTGTCAGTGAGGTCAGTAACTGGTGATATGGGATGAAGGCTGCTGCAAAGCTGGAAGTTTGTTGCTGAGAGATAATGAGAACATCAGAGTATCTACTGCCTCATCACTGGGATATGATTTTGTCAGTTTGATTTTTAAAACTTAATTGTTCCCATTTTCTTATCCAAAGTCTTTGTTTTCTGTTTTTCCTCTTTCTGTTCAATTTATTTAAAAAATACCATTCTTCTCCAATTGTGTCCTGTCAACTTGTAAAAACCTGTGGTTCCTCAAAATATTGTACTGTCTTTTATTTACTTCTTACTCTGTTGTCTAGCCTCCCAGGTATATCTCTGGGTACTGAGTTTAAACTTTAAATGTTTAACAAGTTCTTTCCCCCTCATTTTACACTCTTATTTCTCTATATTCCTCTTTCTGCTTCAATGCATTTAACTTACAACTTTAGTGTAAATTTTCCTCCCCTTTGGTTTGGAATTAGAATAATATACTTTACAGGTTATTTTTCTATAGATAAGTGGCATTTAATTTCCAGGAATTCAGTAAAATTCTTAACTTGCCCCTCACTGAAAATGACAACCAGCAAAGTTAATAATATTTCATGTACCCTATAATAGTCCATTATATAAAGTAATTATAAATATGGCAGTGTTACTTACTAGGTGGTGGTGTAGCTTTTGCTGAAATACAAGAGACATGTTGTTTTAGTCAGTTATGGGTACAGCATATTTTCCCCCTGTTAATCTCCCACTGAGGAATCTTATAACGACAACTAAGCAGCACAAGGATTTCTGTTACAATTATTTTGATGCTGGAATCCCTGTCAACATGATCACTTAAGAAGTATGTCTGATGTTCAGTTTTGATGTCTTCAGAGCCTGGCAAATACCTGCTTCTTTCTGTTTCCTCCTTTTATAGTTTTCCCATTTTGCATTCTAGCTTTTCTTACATTTGGTCCTCTTTGTCAGTTACCATCCACTCTTTCAAAAAAGAATGTGTGACTTAAACTATGATTTATTGGTTCTGTTTTTTATTCTTTTTGTTAATCAGTGGAGTTTTGGTCTACAAATTCATTGGCAAATCTTAATTAGCATAAAACTAACTTTAAAAAGATTAGAGATTTCATGAAAAATTGAAAATAAATTACCACTATAGAAATCTATTACAGAATTTTATTTACTTTAATGGATTTAATAATTTAAAGATAGAAAATCAACTTAGTTAATTCAGCAAATAATAATTTAGAGAAAAATGTGTTAGAAACAATATTAATGCATTATATTGTTGTATTAATAAACTACTACATTTAGGCATCTAGACTCTTCCTAGATATTAAATATTATATGCAGCTTAGTTCTGAATATATTACTAGAATCTCTTTATGTCCTTTCATAAAAAACATATTATTTTAGTTGTAGTTTTAAACATAAAAAACATATTATTTTAGTTGTAGTTTAAAATTTTTGTCAATTCTAACCCTCTGCCCTCTTCCCATTTCAGCTTAAGCTCCCAAAACTCTTCCTGAGCATTAAGAGCTATCTGAGCATATTTTGTTATAATTGGTCCCTTATCCTCAGTTCTTGAAAATGCTTCAGAACCATAAAGGTAGAATGGGTGTCTTGTTATTCATAATGAACCCCTTTTCACCACATCTGTGTTAGTCACTGAGTCTTGTTCGACTCTTTGTGAACCCATGGACTGTAGTCCGCCAGGCTCCTCTGTCCATGGAATTCTCCAGGCAAGAATACTGGAGTGGGTAGCTATTACCATCTCCAGGGGATCTTTCCAACTCAGGGACAGAACCTAGGTCTCCTTCATTGCAGGTGGATTCTTTACTGTCTTTGTTCAGTTCAGTTCAGTCGCTCAGTTGTGCCCAACTCTTTGCGACCCGATGGACTGCAGCATGCCAGGTTTCCCTGTCCATCACCAACTCCCACAGCTTGCTCAAACTCATGTCCATCAAGTTGGTGATGCCATCCAACCATCTTATCCTCTGTTGTTCCCTTCTCCTCCTGCCTTCAATCTTTTCCGGCATCAGGGTCTTTTCCAATGAGTTTGGGTTCATGTTAATGAGGTAACTTCTGAAAATCACCTAAAGACAGGGGCTGGTTACCAGAATCAACCTTGAATAGAGGGTTAGAATTTTCAGTCCCACCCCTTGATTTCTGGGAGGGATGGAGGGCTAGAGGTTGAGTTAATCACTGATAGTTAATGATTAACTGGTAATTTTAATGTTATAAAGCCTCCATAAAAACCCAAATGGAGGGAGTTCAAAGCCCTTCCAGGCTGGGAAGTCAGAATGCTTCCCCAGATACCAAAGGACAGAAGCTTCTTTGTTTGGGGCCTTGCCCTATGTATCTCTTCATCTGCTGTCGATTCTTATCTTTTAGTATCCTTTGTAGTAAATCAGGAATCTAGCTTGTAAATGGTTTCTTGAATTCTGTGAGCCACTGTAGCAAATTAATCCAACCCAAGGAAAGGGCCATGGGAATCCTGCATTATAACTAAATATAGGTAACAACCTGGACTTGTGATTGGCATCCAGAGTTGGAAGTGGGTGATTGAAACTGCTGGTTTATAGAGCTGGTTAGTCAGAAGCACAGGTAACCTTGAAACAAGCAGGACCTGGTGGGGAACAGGTGTGGGGAACACACAAAAGCCTTTCTGTGTTCCTTGTTTCTTGTTTGTGGGAAAAAGGCTTCAGCCTTCTAGACCTTCCTTGAGTACCAAAATGCAGATTCAAACAATTGCTAACCAGGGAAGTGAGGGAATGCGGAAACAAAGAAAGAGCAAACAAGAAACAATAGTGTAATGATGAAGCAGGTTCCTGGTTCCTCCTCATGGAATATAGATAACAATATATCTTTGATTTCTCCTACAGTGAGTTTGTTAGGGAACCATTGATGAAAACCACTCATGCTGGCCAGGCGCAATGATAACCCCTTGTCTTAGTTGTCTTACAACAGGAGGTCCGATAAATTCAGGAGGGGCCAAAAAAGGGAGGAGATGACCAACCTCCCAGAATCTTTCCCACTGGAATCCATCTTGGCTGAGAGATATGTGTGCCATCAGGAAGGACCCTGAGTCAGACGGCGGGCCAAGCAAGATGACTGGCCAGAGACAACCCAGAAGCTAGCCCTATTACCATAAAACCTGAGACTGTCAGCAATGTGGCAGAGCAATTCTCTTGGGTTACCTTACCCTACTGCCCTCTGCCTGGGTGTTCCTTTCCAGTAAGGTCTCTTGCTTTTTCAGCATGTGTATCTCCTTCATTTTTGAGTGTTAGACAAGAGTCCACTTTCAGGCCTTCGAAAGGTTCTCTCTTTCTTCAACAAGTTATCTTCCTGGAGATAATTTCACCTTTTAGTTTCTTGTTGCATATGGAACTCTTACCAGAAACTAAGCCATTTAATTTCTCTTCCCCTTGTTATACTCTTGCTGACTGGATCTACCTCTGCCTATATTTATGAATATCATATTGAATTCTGATTTTGAGTTGACAAAAATTTAAACTACAACTAGAATAATATTTATTTTAATATGTACAATTATTTTCAGTGATTTAGTCTTTTCTTAACATTATGACAGTGAGGAAATATTGAGAAATAAGATCATTGAGTTCTTCCACAGTTGAAAGTGATGATGGTAACAGTAATTAAGGGTAGCTCATGCTCTATTCAGAATTTGAAAAAAGTACCTACTGATGAATGATGCAAGGCTTTTAAAATGAAGCAAAAAGGAAATAAATGAATTTCATCTTGCTTGCAAAAAGATATAAAGAATTTAATACAGCTTTATACGTTAGAACAAAATTGTTATTCTTGTATCAGAGAATGCCCTAGAAAAGGGACATCAAGGAATTTTCAGAACAGATCAGGCTATATTAATTAATAAAAGGTTGTTTTAAGAGTTGGTGTGTCTTCCACATTAACAAATTGAAAAATAAAAGCCATATGATTATCCCAATAGATGCAGAGAAAGCTTTTGACAAAATTGAACATCTATTTATGATAAAAACCCTCCAGAAAGCAGGAATAGAAGGACAATACCTCAACATAATAAAAGCTATATATGACAAACCCTCAGCAAACATTATCCTCAATGGTGAAAAATTAAAAGCATTTCCCCTAAAGTCAGGAACAAGGCAAGGGTGCCCACTCTCATCACTACCATTCAATATAGTTTTGGAAGTTTTGACTACAGCAATCAGAGCAGAAAAAGAAATATAAGGAATCCAGATTGGAAAAGAAGAGGTAAAATTCTCATTGTTTGCAGATGACATGATCCTCTACATAGAAAACCCTAAAGACTCTACCAGAAAATTGCTAGAGCTAATCAATGAATATAGTAAAGTTGCAGGATATAAAATTAACACAAAGAAATCCCTTGCTTTCCTATACAGTAACGATGAGAAAACAGAAAGAGAATTAAGGAAACAATCCCATTCACCACTGCACTGAAAAGAATAAAATACTTAAAAGAATAAAATACCTAAAGAAACAAAAGACCTATACATAGAAAACTATAAAACACTGATGAAAGAAATCAAAGAGGACACGAATAGATGGAGGAATATACTGTGCTCATGGATCAGAAGAATCAATATAGTGAAAATGAGTATACTACCCAAAGTGATCTATAGGTTCCATGTAATCCCTATCAAGCTACCAATGATATTTTTCAGAGAACTAGAACAAATAATTTCACAATTTGTATGGAAATACAAAAAAACCTCGATTAGCCAAAGCAATCTTGAGAAAGAAGAATGGAACTGGAGGAATCAACCTGCCTGACTTCAGTCTCTACTACAAAGCCACAGTCATCAAGACAGTGTGGTCCTGGCATAAAGACAGAAATATAGATCAATGGAACAAAATAGAAAGCCCAGAGGTAAATCCACAAACCCATGGACACCTTATCTTTGACAAAGGAGGCAAGAATATACAAAGGAGAAAAGACAGTCTCTTTAACAAGTGGTGCTGGGAAAACTGGTCAACCACCTGTAAAAGAATGAAACTAGAACACTTTCTAACACCATACACAAAAATAAACTCAAAATGGATTAAAGATCTAAATGTAAGACCAGAAACTATAAAACTCCTAGAGGAAAACATAGGCAAGACACTCTCCGACTTAAACCACAGCAGGATCCTCTATGACCCACCTCCCAGAATATTGGAAATAACAGCAAGAATAAACAAGTGGGACCTAATTAAAGTTAAAAACTTCCCGCTGCTGGGTATACACATTAAGGAAACCAGAATTGAAAGAGACACGTGTACCCCAGTGTTTATCACAGCACTGTTTATAATAGCCAGGACATAGAAGCAACATAGATGCCCATCAGCAGACGAATGGATAAGAACGCTGTGGTATATATACACAAGGGAATATTAGTTAGCCATTAAAAAGAATTCATCTGAATCAGTTCTAATGAGGTGGCTGAAACTGGAGCCTATTATACAGAGTGAAGTAAGCCAGAAAGAAAAGCACCAATACAGTATACTAATGCATAGATATGGAATTTAGAAAGATGGTAATGATAATCCTGTATTCGAGACAGCAAGAGAGACACAGATGTATTGAACAGTCTTTTGGACTCTGTGGGAGAGGGCAAGGGCGGGATAATATGGGAGGATGGCATTGAAATATGTAAATTATCATATGTGAAACGAATCGCCAGTCCAGGTTCGATGCATGATACAGGATGCTCGGTGCTGGTGCACTGGGATGACCCAGAGGGACGGGATGGGGAGGGAGTTGGGAGGGGGATTCGGGATGGGGAACACATGTACACCCAAGGCGGATTCAAGCCAATGTAAGGCAAAGCCAATACAATGTTTTAAAGTAAAATAAATAAATAATTAAAAAAAAAGAAAAAAACAGTTGGTGTGTCTTGAAAATTTCATGCTCTTTCTTTTTGAAATAACTGGTAGCATCATATTAATTTCTTTTGTGGGTGTAACTTCCTATCGATCCAAAGACAGTGAAATGCTTTATGGTACGATGTTAATTGCATTTGAACTTTGGATCTTGTTCATCATCTTCCACATTTTTGCAAAACCTGGCCTTTATTCTTCCTTTATATAGATTTATCTGCTATTTTATTATAAAAAGATTTTGTTTTGTATATTTTTTGTTTCAGTTTATTGATTTATTTATGCTTTCAGGGAAACTCTTAGGAATCTCCAAAATTGCTGATTGAAGAGAGGTAAACAGATTAGAAGGAAAAAATTAAGATTTATAAGGTTTTATAGGATTGACTTTGGCCTCCCTTATAATTCTCAGGCATAGTACCAGGTTGTATTAAACAATGTCAGTTATAATAATATTGTTTATATATTTATAGTTTCTTTATTTGTTAATTGTTTGCCCCATAAGGTTGTAAGACGCTTCATGAGGACAAGAGTCATATCTGTTGCATTTAGTACTATCAGTATGTCTGCATTTAATAGATTTATAAATAGGTGCTGAATGTATGAAAACAATGTGAATTAGAGCTCTGGGGTAAGAACTGCACTGGAGCTATAGATAATGGCAGTTAACATCCCACAATAAGACTTATAGGTTTTAAGACATTGCTTAAGCAACTGAGGAGGAGAAAGAGGCTCATGAGAAAGTTCTGAGGAACACAAGCATTTAAGAACGAGGAAGAGGAGAATAACAATGAGATTAATTCAGGGCAAGAAATGTGGGAAGAAAGCAAGGAGAGTGAAATGTGGTTTCAAGGGGAAGAGAGTGTTTCAAGAAAGAAAGAGTGTTTCTCACAATGTTGTACTGTCTTTTATTTACTTCTTACTCTGTTGTCTAACCTCCCAGGTATATCTCTGGGTACTGAGTATAAACATTAATTATTTAACAAGTTATTTCCTCCTCATTTTGCACTCTTTTATTTCTCTATTTTCCTCTTTCTGCTTCAATGCATTTAACTTACAACATTAGTATACGTTTTCCTCCCTTTTGTTTTGGAATGAGAATAATATACTTTTCAGGTTATTTTTCTACAGGTAAGTGGCATTTAATTTCCAGGAATTCAGTAAAATTCTTAACTTGTCCCTCACTGAAAATGACAACCAGCAAAGTTAATAATAGTCCATGTACACTATAATAGTCCATTACATAAAGTAATTATAAATATGACAGTGTTACTTACTAGTAACTGGTGGTATAGCTTTTGCTGAAATACAAGAGACATGTTGTTTTAGTCAATTATGGGTATAGCTTATTTTTCCCCTGTTAATCTTCCATTGAGGAATCTTATAAATGACAACTAAGAAGTACAAGGATTTCTGTTACAATTATTTTGATGCTGGAATCCCTGTCAACACGATCACTTATGAAGTATGTCTGATGTCTTCAGAGCCTGGCAAATACCTGCTTCTTTCTGTTTTCTCCTTTTGTAGTTTTCCCATTTTTCATTCTAACTTTTCTTACCTTTGGTCCTCTTTGTCAGTTACCATCTACTCTTTCAAAAAAGAATGTGTGACTTAAACTATGATTTATTGGTTCTGCTTTTTATTCTTTTTGTTAATCAGTGGAGTTTTGGTCTACAAATTCATTGGCAAATCTTTTTAATTAGCATAAAACTAACTTTAAAAAGATTAGAGATTTCATGAAAAACTGAAAATAAATTACCACTATAGAAATCTAATACAGAATTTTATTTACTCTAATGGATTAAATTAAAGATAATTTAAAGTCAGGTTGTAGTAGACTAAGAAGTGGATGTTGAAGTAGCATTAGCGGTAAGGAATGAGGACAACTCTGATGCAGTTTAGCCATGATAAGAGAGGGAGTGGCTGGGTTGGAACAGGTTATTGAGTCATGGAAGGATTTATAAAAAATACAGGATGACATTAAAATGTTTAAATGCTGAAAAGGAGAAATTGAAGATAATAGGAAATGTGAGTTTTGAGGTCAGTTAACTCTTTAAGGGAATGAAATGGGATGGGATCTAGAACTCAATGAAGGAGTTGAATTTTGATACATAAAATACTGCTGTCCTTGTTGACAGGAACACTTAAGGTCTACACTCAGTAATTTTAAAGCATACAATATTGTATTATTAACTACAGTCACCATACTGTACATGGGAGCCTCAGGAAATTTTTTACCTTATAACTATGTCTTCCATTTTTCTTGCTCCCCAGCCCCTGCAAGCACCATTCTATTCTTTGTTTCTAAGAAATTTGCTTTTTTAAAAAAGATTCCACACATATTTGATACTATACAGTATTTTCTTTCTCTGTCTAGCTTATTTCACTTAGCGTAATGCCCTTCAGTTTCATTCATGTTGTGAAAGCAAATATTTCTGAACACGTGATTGTTTTCTGTCCTTCTGTTCTTTTACGTTGCTGTGTCACTCTAGGACTTGTGGCCTCTCAAAGCTTTAACAACGCTGTGCTTGTGTGCTTGGTTGCTCTTTGCGTGTCTGACTCTTTGTGACCCCATAGACTGTGGCCCGCCAGGCTCCTTTGTCAATGGGGATTCTCCAGGCAAGAACACTTCTTCAGGGGATCTTCCTGACCCAGGGATCGAACTGGGGTCTTCTGCATTGCAGGTGGATTCTTTACCAGCTGAGCTACCAGGGAAGCCCTTAACAATGCTAATGCTGTGAAATTTTGAAATCGGCTTTCCTAAAGTTCACATATCTGGTACTTTTTAGCCATTTTCTCCTTTATAATCACACAGTCTAAGTTCATGTGATCTTTTACCAAGGCTTTCTGGTTCTTTTTCTTATTAATACAATCCATTTTGTTTGTGTAAATTAGGTTGAGAGTAGCATCATTGACTCAATGGACGTGGGTTTGGGTGGACTCCGGGAGTTGGTGATGGACAGGGAGGCCTGGCGTGCTGCGGTTCATGGGGTCGCCGAGTTGGACATGACTGAGTGACTGAACTGAACTGAACTGAAGTACTCCTGTTACTTTTTCTACACATAATAAGATGTTTAAAGTCAATTTAAGTTTAACTTTGTAGTTTCCATTTTCTTATACATTATACTTTTATTTTTTGCTCTTCTTCCATTTATCAACTTAGAAAATAGTCACAACCTAAAAGTTAAGAGTTATGTTTCGTTTGGTGGGAAGTTTTAGGACATCAAGCCCTAGAGACAGCATCTCAAGTAACCCTGAGAGAAATGCTACAAGTAGGTAAGGGGAGGAGCCAGGTTATATAGAAGTCGTACAATGAAGAACCAGTAGTCTGAACATCAAAAGGTTACTGTTAATTAAAGAAAATCAGATATCCCAAGTTAAGGAATTTAGTGCTTTTCTATATATGGAAAGATGCAAGAGTCTGGGCTCACTAAAATCATTCCTTTCATATGCATCTCAGCTATCCTGGGGCCAGTATCCTGTATTTTTCACATCCTGAGCTTCCTTGGACTCACCATAGTGAGTGGCTACAATTTGATGGCTGTTATATTGCAAGTATTTTTCTCCTTCCTGAGTGCCCTTAGGCCCACATTAGAGGACTGGAATTGTGGATGACTGTGAAATCTTTTTTTACTGATATGGTAGAAAATATTCCATTTCTCACATTTCACTTAAAATGTTACCCTTTTGAATTATATCCTATCAATTTTGATATCCTGAGAGAAGTATATATATGGCCAATTCTTTTATTCACTTTCTGTATTGTCTAGGCATCTGAGTGACTTTGGGGAGCTAGGAATAAGATTTATAAATTTCATCTTATGATTTTCTTCCCTTACTCTCACCCATTTCTTTTGTTTCTCAGTTTTCCTTTCCTAGCTTCAACTAATTTAATTCATTTCATTTAAATTCTTTAAATGTCTCCTGATTCCTTTTCTGAGAATGTTATTTTGTGGTTTGGCAAGTCAGCTAACTTGACACAATGCTGAAATTCTTAGCTATTCTTTCTACAAATCAGTGAGGTTTAGTTTCAAGAAAATTTTCAGTAACTGAGAAGTCTTAACTTGTGTCCAATTGACCATGACAACCTTCAAAGTTAGTTGAAGTCTTTATACTATAACAGTCATTAACAAGTTAAATAATGTACTTACCACTAGGTGGTTCAGCTTTTGTTGAAATATAAGCACAAACAAATAGTTATTTGTTGACCTGTTATTGAGCAGCACATTTTCCTTTTTAAAAGCTTCTAATTTGGAAATCTTATAAAATGATACCCAACCAGCACAAACACCTCTGCCATTGGTGATGTATTGCTATAGTTCCTGGTCAAATGGTCCTTTATTGGTGTGTGCCATGCTAAGTGCCAAGACTGGAGAGAACTGTGGTAAGATTTTAGTCTCATCACCTATTTGTTGTGGTAGCTCCTCTGTGATATCTCTGCTAAGTGAGAAGCTTATTACTGGGGCTGTTTATTAAAGGGAAACCCATTACTTTCCCTAATCATTTGTATTTATCTTTGAACAACTCATTTTCATCCTTTCTTAATAGCCTCTCATATGTACTTTCTCTTTTCTCTTAATGTTGACTCCCTTTTATGTAGACTCCAGTCTACATTGTTTTTCTTTTAAAGTGAATTTTATTTGTTCTGAGGAATATACCCTCTTAGTTATTCAGGGCATTTAAGCTTTTTAGCAAACTGTCAGTAATCTCTAAAAATCCTCACCACTCAGGGCTGAGTATACAGTGAAAAATACTAATATGAGGTTTCAAATTTGGGTATGTTAATTGTCAGAGTAATCAAAAATTCTTTATGAACTTATTTATCCCCAAATCACTTATGCTGAGAAATAGAAAAAAGCTTAAGCATGGGTTTCTCAGCAGCTCCTATAAACAAACATAAATGAGTGCAGTTTAACATACAGATTGTATAACTAATAATATGCTTCTTTGAGTTATTTCTACATCTAATTTCCTTAGAGCACAAAAACTTTCATGGCATTATTAAGCCCCATTAAAAAATCACATATTGTTTTGTAGTTTTAAAATCACAATTTCATACTAATTAGCAAACTTTTGGATATGGAAGGGAAAAAGGCAAAAGGAGACATCATAACATTAATGCTGGACACAGAAGCAGCCAGATTCAGCAAAAACATACATACAGCTAAACTGAAATGATTTGGAGTGGAGAAATGGAAAGAACTTACCTCTGGCTCTCACATCTTTTTCTATAATAAAAAAGAAATAAATGAAGTTGAAAAATCTTGGATATAACTTTTTCTTGAGTACAAAATAATTACAATAGCTAGTGATAATTGGTTGATTAACATGTGCCTAGGCAATGTTCCAATTGATTGAACTATTTTAATTCTCACTCAAATCCCATGAGGTGGCTATAATTGTTACCTTCATTTTATCAATGAAAGAACTAGTAGAAATAGGTTAACTAAACTGCCCAAGACCAGGCAGTTCAGTGGTCAATTCTGCGTTTATACTTAAGCATCAAAACCCCAGAGCCCATACTTCTATGGTCTTTTATATGTATATTATTTTGGGTCTTTAAAGTTCCATGTTGGCTGCTTTGGCACTATAATCCAATACAGCAAAATCTCTTAAACATTAATTCCTTCACTTTTTTATACAAGATCTTCTATGTTTATAATTGAAGCTTTTGAAGTTGGCTTTCCTAAAGTTTAGTCTAGAATATCTGACAATTTTTGGTTGTTTATCATCAGTTATCACAAAATCTAAGCTTATGTGGACCATTATTTTTTAAACATATTTTTTTCTTATTAGTACAACTCCTTTATTAGTATGAATTGGGTTGATGGTAATTCTATGTGCTTCTTCTATTTCATTCAGATAAATTATAGTCATTGATTCTTTTGCATTTTGCTGTTTCCATTCCCCCATCTGATTTTTATTTTTTAGGATTTCTGTCTTCATCCTATTTGTAATATTAATCCTAATTGATTCTATTTTATTAATTTTGTAATTTCAGAAGAAACATGTGTGTGTGCGCTAATTCGCTTCAGTGGTGTCTCTTTGCGACCCTATGAACTGTAGCCCACCAGGTTCCTCTGTCCATGGCATTCTCCAGAATACTGCAGTGGGTTGCCACGCCCTTTTCCAGGGAATCTTCCCAACCAAGGGATGGATGGAATCCAGGCTCTTCGGTCTCTTCCATTGGTGGGCGGGTTCTTTACCACTGGTGTCACCTGGGAAGCCCCAGAAGGAACATAGGTATAGTCTATTCTTTTATTCTCTTTTCTTGTTCAGATTCTCAACTAAAATTTTGGATCCTGTGTGTAAGATTTAGAAGATTTACCAAGGTGTTTAAAAAAATTATCCTTCATTGTATTTCTCTATTTTTAATTCTCAGCTTTGACTCAGCTTTGACTCATTTTTATCTCTAGTAAGAACATTCTTCTTTGTCTCTGGTAAGTTCGTTGACTTGATTGAATGATAATGTACTTTTATGTTTACTTTTTTGATTTGGTTTTAGTTTCAAAATAATTGGCAGCAACAATAAAGTTCTTGATTTCTGCCCCACTGTAAAATAGCAATCATAGAACGTAATAATAGTCCTGTGCATGCAGCAACAGACTATTGTCAGTAGAATTATAAGATACTGTACTTACTAAGAGGTGGTGAGGTTTTTGCTAAAATAAAAGCACAAACAATTATTGTTATTATTTTTAAACTATTAAGTATACAATGTATATCCCTTGTAAATATTCATTAAGGGAGTCTTATAAAATAATATTCAAAAAGTTCAAAGACTTCTACATCAGTTAATTTGATGCTGTGAGTCCCAGCAAGGTGGTCCTTTATGAGAATGTAAGACACACAGTCTTGGGACCAGAAAGTACCTTAATTCTTAGGTTTTGTGCTATTATATCATAACATCTTCTTTTAAAAATTGAAGTACAGCTGACTTACAATACTATATTATCTTCAGATGTACAATATAGTGATTCAATATTTTTATAGATTATTTAAAGTTACTGCAAAAATAATGACTATATTTCCCTGAGCTGTGCAGTATATCATTGTAGCTTATATATTTTATACATAATAGTTTGTGTCTCTTAATCTCATACCTCTATCTAACCTCTCCCCTGTTTCTTCTCCCTACTGATAACCATGGGTTTGTGAGTGGTTACCACTCTCTGTATCTGTGAGTCTTTTTCAGTGTTGTTATAGTCATTCATTTGCTTTATTTTTTGGACTCCACATATGAGTGATAATAGAATATTTGTCTTCTTCTGTCTGACTTATTTCACTAAACATAATACTCTCTGTCCATCCATGTTGTTGCAAATGCAGAATTTCACTTTTTTTAGTAACTGAATAATATTCCATTGTACATATATACCGCATCTTCTTTATTCACTCATCTGTTGATGCATACTTAGGTATAACTTCCATAGTTTGTCTACTGTAAATAATGCTCTGTGAACATGGGAGTGCATCTGTCTTTTTGCTTAATCTTTAGCTTTTAGGTGAAGTGGACCATAGTCTATTTACCCACCTGCAGTGGGTCTATAAAATTCCTGCCAATTAGGAAACTTATACTTGAGACTCTTCATTAAAGAGGAGCTCATTCCTTTGTGCATCTTTTATATAGTCATGTCCAGCATGGTGACTATAGTTAATATATTATATATTTGAAAGTTGCTAAGAGAGTAGATCTTAAAAGTTTTCAACACAAGAAACAAATGTAGCTATGTATGGTGATGGATGTTAACTAGACTTATTGTGTTCATTTCTTGATATCTATGAATATTGAATCATTATTCTATACACTTGAAGCCAATAGAATGTTGTATGTTAATTATATCAGTAAAAAACTATAGGGATAACTTTCAGGATAGTATTTAAATTAAAAGACACAACAGTTGAGGAAAAGGAAAACTTACCAGTTGGTTCAGCAAATCCTGATTCAGAGAAAAAACATTTGTCAGTTCTAATTATAAAGTCACATGTTATCATATTAACAACAAATTCTATGGTATTTGGATTCTCTTTTAGATTTTAGCTATGGTATTTACTTAGTTATAAATACATTTCTAGAAATTGTGTTATTTTCTTTTGTTTTATGTCCTTAGTAATGCCCAAATTGGGGACCCGCTGCCTTAAAAACCTAAAAATAGAGCTACCACATGACTCAGCAATACCACTCTTGGGACCCAGCAATCCCACTAAAACACGCAATCATTTTGAAGACTTGCTATGTACCTTTAAACCTATAGATAACTAAATCTAGAAACACATTGAAAATTTTTTTACTAACAGCATCACTGATTTTCATTTACGCTCACGTAATACATGTAAGAAATACATCATAGTAATTAAAATAGGAATTCTTTTAGTGACACAAAAACTAGTAGTGTTAGTAGTAAGTCATTTCTGACACTGCAATCCCATGGACTGTAGTCCTCTAGGCTCCTCTGTCCATGGAATTCTCCAGGTAAAAATACTGGAGTGGGTTGCCATTCCTTTCTCCAGGGGATCTTCCCAACCCAGGAATTGAACCTGGGTCTCCTGCCTTGCAGGCAGATTCTTTACTACCTGAAGCCCCTTTCAGTGACAGTTGAGGCTTAATACTCCTCCAAATGTTTAATGTTTGAATTTTTCTCTTGGGTAAATTAATGGTACATATTCTTCAACCATTTGTCAATAGAGAAACTATTGACATATACAGATATATTTGGTAGGTCAAGCTTGTGCTAGCTGTGGTATCATTTCTACTCTGTTACTTTGAAGAAATTGGATTATACAGCTGATGCTTCTGTTGTGTTCTAAGAGAAGACCTGATGTCTGGAGTTCAGTTCAGTTCAGTTCAGTCGCTCAGTCATGTCCAACTCTTTATGACCCCATGAATCGCAGCACGCTAGGCCTCTCTGTCCATCACCAGATCCTGGAGATTACTCAAACTCTGTCCATCAAGTTGGTGATGCCATCCAGCCATCTCATCCTCTGTTGTCCCCTTTTCCTCCTGTCCCCAGCCCCCCCCAGCATCAGGGACTTTTCCAATGAGTCACCTCTTCCCATGAGGTGCCCAAAGTATTGGAGTTTCAGCTTCAGCATCAGTCCTTCCAATGAACACCCAGGACTGATCTCCCTTAGGATGGACTGGTTGGATCTCCTTGCTGTCCAAGGGACTCTCAAGAGTCTTCTACAACACCACAGTTCAAAAGCATCAATTCTTCAGCGCTCAGCCTTCTTCACAGCTCAACTCTCAACATCCATACATGACCACTGGAAAAACCATAGCCTTGACTAGACGGACCTTTGTTGGCAAAGTAATGTCTCTGCTTTTTAATATGCTTCTAGGTTGGTCATAACTTTCCTTCCAAAGAGTAAGCATCTTTTAATTTTATGGCTTAATCACCATCTGCAGTGATTTTGGAGCCCCAAAAAATAAAGTCTGACACTGTTTCCAGTTAGGGCTCCTTTATTCTGGTAGAAGGGCAAAGTGAATTATCTTCTTGGAGCCTATTTAGATATCATTTTCTTGTCCATTGCAATCAGTTTATACCATTTTTGGACCTGTCAAGAAGTCATACCACTTAATCTCCCTTCTTCTTATACTTTTATTAATTTCCTCATCTCTTTGTTTATACTTGTGAACATCACATAGGATGCAGTATCAAAAACTGGTAATAGTATTTCTCATAAAGAGTGTGTATGTATATATATATATATACTATATATACTATATATACTATATGTATATAGTTGATTCTTAATCTTTCACAGCATCATCAATTATTCATCTGTATCACATAGAAAAAGGGTAGAGAAATATTAGCATTGAGGTTTTAGACCACTGACACTGTAATAGCCAATAGCCTATGGATTTTAGGATTTGAAAGGAACTTACTGACGGTTGATACAGGTGCTTTAAAACAGAAAGAAAAATAAAGACATAAGTAATGTGTAGTATATGAAAATATATCCAATCAAGAAATTTCTCTACGTGTGTGTGTTGAAACAAAACTGTCAATCATGTGATTTTCAGAGGGTGCTCCAAAAAGAAAAGTCAAGGGAATTTCAAAGCAGTTGAGATTCTTTGTGTTTCATGAAAGATCATTTTAATGTCTGATTAATCTCAGAAATCTTAGTGTTTTATTTGAAGGGCCTCTGTTGAGAGGCTATTTTTTGTGTTTTACTTTTCTTACCCAGGGCAAAGAACTATTGATATTAAAATCGTTTAGGAAAGCAGTATGATGTTACAGTAAAGTTTTACCTATCTATTTTTTTTCATCATTGGACTCTTGTCTTCTGTATAGATGTCATCTACATTTTGAAAATATTTTTATTTGTTTTGTGGTATTTAGTCTTATAATGGATACTTTTAAACTTTTCTGAAAATTGTCAGTAATTTCTAAAGAAGGCTCACTATTGTGAGAGGAACATAGAAAGTGAAATAATAGCATTAGAACTTGCAAAGTTGATTTATGTCTATGGATGGACTTATCTATCAAAATGTCTTCATGCATATGTTTTCCAGATACTAGCCACAGAAAAGTAATTTACTGGAACTTTTCTCAACAGTTTCAAGCAAAACAAAACCAAGACCTACTATATTAGGCTTACCTAAAACATTTTTTTGCATTGTTTTAATACTTAGCTTCCAAACCAGTTAGTTACCTCTTTTGGAAGTCCTAGCAGAAACATAGTATATGCATTATTCTTGTGTTCTCCTCTCCTCAATTTTCTATCTTTTTAATGAAACAGTATAATGTGTATAAAATTTAGATACCTCTTCAATTAGTTCCTTCTTCCTCTCCCCTCTTTTAATTTTATGACTAGTTTCCTTTCCTACTTCCATTGTATCATTAAAATATTAATATTTTTCTTTCTGTCCTAGTATGGACATGTAAATTTCTTTAAATAAACAAATCAGTTCTCTTAATATAACAATTTATTTGTCAGTTTATTCTTTATATAAGCCATTGAGGTTCATTCTAACTCTAAATTAACTTTTGATCTGAAAGTGAAAAATCTGCTAATAAAATCTTATGTATCCAGTAGTATCCCAGTAAATGCTAGTGTTATAAATAAGCTAATAAACTTACTGGTAGGTAGTATAGCTCTGCCTGAAATACAAAACAAGCCAGCATTAACCCATACATGTAAATACATTTTTTATTATGAATTTAGCTTTTATTAAAAATTAAATAAGCAAAAGCAAAAATTTTAAGAAACTTTTTATAAATTACACAAAACAACGTTAAGAGGGATAGTCACAGGTCTGCAACAAATAATTGCAAAAGTATCTAGGGCAGCATGAATACAGACCATATCACAGCATGGTGACCTAACTGTGATATGAATATGGCATAACTAACATTTGCACCAAGACCAGGATTAAAAAAAAAACAAAAAGACATACTTTAAAAGCTTAGTTATACATTAAGCTTCTTCTCTTCCCTCAGATCCTTAATGGGTTTATACTATGTACTTTTTTTTTTTAAGCAAACACATCATGTCAGACTATAAATTACACAGCTGGGCAGTTAATGTGAAAAGTACCCTCCCACAAAATGTACAATTGAACTGGTACTGAACTGAGTTCTCCATTTACTTTTATGTACTGCTGCTGCTGCTAAGTCACTTCAGTCGTGTCCGACTCTGTGCGACCACATAGATGGCAGCCCACCAGGCTCCCCTGTCCCTAGGACTCTCCAGGCAAGAACACTGGAGTGGGTTACCATTTCCTTCTCTAAAAAATGAACGTGAAAAGTGAAAGTGAGGCTGCTCAGTTGTGTCCGACTCTTAGCGGCCCCATGGACTGCAGCCTACCAGGCTCCTCCATCCATGGGATTTTCCAGACAAGAGTACTGGAGTGGGTTGCCATTGCCTTTTCCACCTTTATTTGGTACTGTGCATCTATTCATAAAACACTTAAAACTGTGAAAACATGCTTTGCAGTGTGAAAATATGGTTTACACTTAACCCTAAACCATATTTTCACAGTTTTAAGTGTTTTATGAATAGATGCACAGTACCAATCAGGTTTGCAGTTGTTCCTGAAAACTGTCTCAAGGTTCTGCATCCGACACCCATTGGCTATTGGGATGCAAGTATTTACATAAATAAAAAACTATGTCTTAGTCAATGATTAAGAGAGTTCAGCAAGAGTGGTATTTCCAACAAAGAGTGATACTCAATACCATAGCTTAAATACTTGTGCAAAGTAAGCATTAGGACAGAGAAATCTGAGGCAAGTTCAATTTGCAAAAACTTGTATCGCTACTGTTGTAAACTTTGGCAATAAATGACCCTTGGCAAGTACTGCTCTCTATGGCTTTTTATTTTTCTTTAAAAGTTTTAAAGCCAGAGAAAATGCACTCATACTACCCTCACATGCAGACACACACACACACGCACCCACACCACATACATACACACAGTTCTCATTTCATTCAGAGTATGGTACATAGTTCAACTTCATCTCAGTGTAGAGGTTTAACACACACTCAGTGTGTGTTTTTCTGTGCAAGTTCTTAGTGATCTAAATCCTGGTTGAAGGTATTTGTTTGCAGAAGCACATGACTCAGGAGGTTGAAGAAAAAAAAACTGAACAGAACAGTTTCCTTACATTTCTCAAACTAGCACTGGATGTGCAAAGGCAGCAGTCAACCTGGCCGTCACCCCAGCCAGATTAGGGTAATTTTAGAGGAGGATCTGATACATTGTTTTTTAAAATATTCTTTTCCATTATGGTTTATGATAGGATTATTTTTTTAAATTGGGGGATAATTGCTCTACAAGGTTGTGTTCATTTCTGCTGAACAACAATGTGAATCAACTATAAGTATACATGTAAGTATACATACCTTACTCTTGAGCATCCCAAAGCTCATTTTAATATTTGAAACATTTTGCAGATTTTAGTGTTCTTTGTTGGAGAAGGTCTGTTGAAACCTCTGCAGAAGTGGGTAAATTCCTTTGGGTGCCTTTATGTTCCCAAATAGTATACACAGAAGATGGAATAGCTTTTAGAAAAATAGTAGTTTAAACAATAGAGAAATTTCTCTTAATTAGTCTAGAGGAAAAAAAATTGGTTTAAGAAAAAAGAGGAAGGAGAAAGATAAGAATAAAAAAAGTTGGGAGGATCCCCTGGAGGAGGGCATGGCAACCCACTCCAGTATTCTTGCCTGGAGAATCCCATGGACTGGGGAGCCTGGTGGACTACAGTCCATGGGTTGCGAGGAGTTGGACACAGCTAAAGTGAACTAGTGTGCTCATGCTCATAGAGTATTAAACATAGGAAAATATAATGCCAGTCATCTTGACAAGACTGGAGTCCCAAAAAGATAATGGCTATCTTCATTTTAAGAGTGTGAATAAGGTATTCTTGGTAGAGCAAATGATTCATTTTTGGTAGTATCTCCAGTACTATGCAGAAATATCCTGGTTTACTGTCAATTTGGGTGTCCTTTGATTTCTTGAAGAATACAGAGATTCCTTTAAAACCTTAAAATATTTTTTTTTTACTGCTGAAAAATCTGGGTTGATTTTGCAGAATTTTAATAATCTTTCTTTAGTTCTTGGATTCCCTTGCTTCTGTGTTATCCATCAGTCCCTTAACTGCTGATAAATATGAAAAAAACTAAATGCCATCAGTTATGACAAAGTTCAGGATTAAATCTCCTGGGATTAGTTATAATGACTTAAGAGAAATATGAATTTTCAGGCTAACTGATTATACTTAGGAGAGTGATGGTATAAGAATGCAGAGAGAATAACAAAAGAGGCAACATTAGTCCTTGGTCGAAGTGTTGGAACTAAGAGAACTCTAGCCCAGTTCCTGCTGCTCAAAAAAGGGAAAGAAAGGGTGCTCACTTCTTTCCCAAATAATGGAAGGCTCAGCTTATAATTTATTTATAATTTATTTATCAACTCCCACAAAGGAGAGGTACAATATTTCCCATTGAAAAGAATTCATCCTTCATTCCCAGGTGGAAAGTATTTTTTTTCTTTTTTATTCTAAGAATAGCTGATGTACCCCAAATTTCCTTTCAAATTCTAAATTCTGGTTCCTTTAGGCTTCCAGATTCAGTAGTGACTAGGAGGCTCTGGCCTAGCTGGCAGTTTTCATTTCCAGCTATGTTTATATTGATATACCCCCTTTCTTATCTTCTTATTTGTTGTTAGTAATTTTGAGGACTAACTCATATTACAAATAGAGAAAAACATTATCCTGGTAACTAATAATGGTAAAACTCAAGACTTATAAGAATGGTGTACAAATACTGAAAAAGGCAGCAACTGAATTAAAGAGTGGAAAGAAAGAAATGACAAGTAGAGAAATTAATTTCAAATCAGTTTCTCTCACTTCTTGCCTAGTGTCAGAAAGTGAAATAAAAGACTGGAGTCCACCTACCAAAGTCTCTCATACATTGAAAGGTGGACACAAGGCTCCTATAGTTGCTGAAACATAAAGGAACCTATTTTTCCTACACATTTCACTGTCCGTGAATAATTGCACTTGATTGCCCCTTCCCCCACAAAAAAAGGCCACAAGTGGAAACTGTCTTCAGTCATTCCTCCAATTTATCCAACAAACAGCACTTAGAATATGCTCTCTGTACTAAGTAACAGGATTGTGAAGATAAATAAGTTGGTTCCTCTCTTCAAACTCATAGTCTAATAACCTAATAGACAAAAAATTTTAACTAACTTAATATTATCAAATATTCACAGGTGCCAGGTAGTATTTATGTACTAAGGACTCAATGGCAAAAATGTCAGAAAAGTGTTTTTTTTTTTTTTCCCATTCAATTTGTTTAAATAAAAAAAAAAAAAAAAAAAAATCAGTTCATCCATTTATCTCGCCTCCCAGCCCCCGACTCTTGTAAGCACCAGTCTGTCCTCTGAATCTATGAACTTGGGTGTTTGTTTGTCTCAGATTGTGCATATAAGACAGATAGTATGGTCTTTGTATAATTTATTTCACTAGCATAATGCCCTTAAATTTCATTCATGTTTTCACAAATGGCAAGATGTCATTCTTTTTTTTGTGGCTGAATAATATTCTATTCTCTATACATGTAGATCTCACAAATTTATTTAGCCATTCATAATCTTAGATGGGGCTTCCCAGGTGGTGTCAGTGGGAAAGGACCTGCCTGTTATTGCAGGAGGTATAGGAGATGGGAGTTTGATCCCTGGGTTGGGAAGATCCATTAGAGAAGGGCATGGCAACAAATTCCAGTATTCCTGCCTGGAGAATCCCATGGACAGAGGAGCCTGGTGGACTACAGTCCATAGGGTTGCAAAGAGTTGGACACAACTGAAGTGACTTAGCACGCACAATCTCAGATAACATTCTTATTCATGTGGAATTTTCATTGAACTGGAGAGAGACAACAAGAAAATAAATAAATGCAAAGGACAATTTCAGAAAGTGATCATTGTTATGGAGAAAGTTAAAGGAGATAGTATAACAGAGTTACTGAGGAGAGTTAATTTGTCTTGATTGAGAAGGCATGAAGAAGTGACATTTGATCTGAGACCTAATCAAGGGGCTAAGCATGTGCATATCTAGAGAGAAAGTATTCCAGAGAGAGAGAGAGAGAGAGAGAGAGAGACAGAGAGCAACTTCAAAGGGCTTGGGGTGGGAATGAACTTGAGGATTGGGGGAAAAAAATAGTGTGACTAGAACCTAGGAGGCAGAGAAGAAAATAAAGAAGATGTTAGAGAAGTAAGGATGTAGTAAGTCTTGAAAATACATTGGTATTTTACCCTAAGTAAAATGAAGATTCACTAGAAAGTATCAAACAAGGGGGTTACAAGTTCTGATTTTTTTTTTTTTGAGAAGGTCTCTCTGGCAATTTGTGCATAATGTATGTTTGAGATGAGCAGAAGAAGCAAGACAGGCTGCCAGGTGTTGAGGTGGTTAATTAGGAGAAAATAATAATGATAAGAATACTGAGATTTCCAAAGCTGGATATTTTCATGGACTTAGGTGTTTATAAGTAGTTCAAACTGGGAAACAGAAATTGAACTTACTGGTAGTGTTTGCTGTTGTTTAGTCATTAAGTCGTTTCCAACTCTTTTGTGACCCCATGAACTGCAGTCCGCCAGGCTCCTCCATCCTTGGAATTTTGCAGGCAAGAATACTGCAGTGGTTGCCATTTGCTTCTCCAGGGAATCTTCCTGACCTAGCGATTGAACCTGTGTCTCCTGTATTGCAGGCGGATTCTTTACCACTAAGCTACCTGGGAAGCCATCTTTATACTTAGATTATATTAATTCCTTTTTGTTCATGCATGTGATTAAATTTTTTACTAAGTAGGTTTCTGAGAAAGGAAAGAAAAGATCAAAGAAAATACGAGATCTTATATTTGAAAAATGAGACTTACTTAAGTTAAAGTTTGGAAAATAACCTTTTAGCTTATTACAGAATATTGAGCAGAGTTCCCTGTTCTATACTGTAGGTCTTTGTTGGTTATTTATTTTAAATATAGCAGTGTGTGTTTGCATTCCCAAACACCTGATCTGTTCTTCCCCCTAGGTCATCATAAGACCCAAGAGTGGGATTGCTGGGTCATGTGGTAGCTCTATTTTTAGTTTTTTAAGGTGGCAGTTCCCAACCTTTTTGGCACTGGGAACTGGTTTCATGGAAGACAGTTTTGCCATAGACCAGTGGTGGGATGGTTTTGGGATGATTCAAGCACATTACAGTTATTGTGCACTTTATTGTTATTACATTGTGATATATAATTAGATAATTATACAGCTAACCATAATGCAGAATCACTGGGACCTGTGAGCTTATTTTTTTGGGCTTAGAAGTAACACAGGTTCTGGGGAGTGGCTGTAAATATACCTCCTGATGTGTGGCCCTGTTCCTAACAGGCCATGGACTGGTACTGGTTCGTGACCTGGGGGTGGGGACCCCCGTTTTAGGGAACCTCTATACTGTTCTTCATAGTAGCTGTATCAGTTCTCACCAACAGTGCCAGAGGGTTCTCTTTTTTCCACACGCTGTCCAGCATTTATTGTTTGGTGATGGCCATTCTGTCTGGTGTGAAGTGGTCCCTCACTGTAGTTTTGATTTGCATTTCTCTAATAATTAGTGTTTTTGAGTATCTTTTAAAAAAATTTTTATTTTTTATTAGTTGGAGGCTAATTACTTTACAATGTTGTAGTGGTTTTTGTCATACATTGACNTTTATAAATTTTGGAAATTAATCCCTTGTTGGTTGCATCTTTTGCAAATATTTTCTCTTATTCTGTGGGTTGTCTTTTCATTTTGTTTATAGTTTCCTTTAATGTGTAACAGCTTTTGAGTTTAATTAGGTCCCATTTGTTTGTTTTCATTTTTCATTAATCTAGTAGATGAGTCAAAAAGTTATTGCTGCAATTTATGTCAAAGAGTGTTCTGCTTATGTTTTCCTCCTCCTAATTCTAAATGGTAAAAGAATTAGTTAATGAATGAGAAACTTACCTGGGGTTGCTGAATATCTTCCTAAAATAAAACAAGCAAGTGAGTGTGGCATGGTTTGCTAAAATGCTTGATAAAAACATTGTTTAAACTTAATTATCTTGAAGCATTAAATAATATTGGGTCATTTTTATTGACGAATGACCATGTGCTAAGCAATTGTATAAGAGCTTTATGTATTATATAATATAATCCTCAACAACCCTATGATAAGGATTCTGAGCACAGAGGTTACCAAGGGTCACACAGCTAATAATTAGGGGAGATAAGATCTGCCCAAAGCAAACAGGATCTACTCTTGCTTTGAAAAATGGTTTTTTGGTCAATTTGGCACCATTATCTCAGGATTGGTCTGAATCTGCTGGTCTTTTATGAGTAATATCATACTCTTATTCTCTTTTTTAAATGGTAGACCTGGAACTGGAATCCAGGTTTGCTCTACTCTAGTCTTTGTGTAATTCAGGCTGTTCACAAATTTTTTAGAAGAGGAAATAGTCTACTTGCATTTGTTCCACAGATGTGTATTGAGCATCTGTATGTTCCAGACACAATACTAGGTGCTGGCAACAGAATTCAAGATGGAACACTGAGCTGACTCTTGAAAAATTGAGGAGTCTACTAGAGGAATCAGCTATTTTAATAAATTATTGCATCAGGGTAGTGAGTACTCTAATAGAAGTGCAAACTTTAAGTGTACTTTAAGAACAGAGAAAGAAGTACCACTCTTTTTTTTTTTTTAGAAGTACCACTCTTATTCCCTTTTCTTTCAGCCCTTTTAAGGAGTTGACACATATTGGGAATTTTGAGCTCTCCCCTTATATGTGTCTTAGTCATGTCTGACTTTTTGTGACTGACCCCAAGGACTATAGCCTGCCAGGCTCTTCTATCCATGGGATTTCCCAGGATAGAATACTGGAGTGGGTTTCCATTTCCTTGTGCAGGGGATATTCCTGACCCAGGGACTGAATCTGTGTCTCCTGCAATGGCAGGTGGGTTCTTTACCACTGAGCCACTTGGCCTGATTCTAAAGGAAAAATGTTTCTTTAACAGTAGGCAGAGAGGGGATAGAGCATGGTACAATGAAGGGCACTGGTAGATGCTTTAAAGAAAAAAGTGAAAGATTAAAGTAATGTAAAAGTTATGGAATAAATTGTAGAAGAATATCTTCATGAGGTTTAAGTTGGGAAAGAATTCAAACCTCTATAAGCCAAATCATATTGTGAAAAGCTGAGCTATTTGATTACATAAAAATCTAGTGGGAAAACCACTAGACCACTCAGGTATGACCTAAATCAAACCCCTTATGATTATACAGTAGAAGTGAGAAATAGATTTAAGGGACTAGATCTGATAGACAGAGTGCCTGATGAACTATGGATGGAGGTTCATGATATTGTACAGGAGACAGGGATCAAGACCATCCCCAAGAAAAAGAAATGCAAAAAAAGCAAAATGGCTGTCTGAGGAGGCCTTGCAAATACCTGTGAAAAGAAGAGAAGTGAAAAGCAAAGGAGAAAAGGAAAGATATACTCATTTGAATGCAGAGTTCCAAAGAATAGCAAGGAGAATAAGAAAGCCTTCCTTAGTGATCAGTG